AAAAATTTCTCTGCAGTTCTAGGATATATATATATATAGTATATATATATATATGTATATATATATATATAGTATATATATATATATTATATATATATATATTATATATATATATATAGTATATATATATATATATTATATATATATATATAGTATATATATATATATAGTATATATATATATATTATATATATATATATAAATATAAAAATATGCGTATGTAAATAAGCGTATTTATGTATTTTACGATTTATACACTTAAAAGCACACACACACATATATGTACACACACACACACAAATATATATACGAGAGATAGTAGATGGATCATATATAAACGATACTCAGAAATGAAACGTCCAAGGGAAGTGGAAAGGTAGTGGAAAAATTTCTCTGCAGTTCTAGGATATATATATATATAGTATATATATATATATATGTATATATATATATATATATATATATATATATATATATATATATATATATATATATATATATATATATATATCCATATAAATACACATATGCATATCTATATACATATCCGCATCGAAAATCGGCGAAGGACACTGAGCCTCTGTCTCCTGCAGGACGCCCCCGCCCTGCCGCCGCGCCCTCGTCCACACGCGACGGGACGAGCGCTACGCCATCGTGCGCCTGTGGCAGAGCGGCATGTCGGCCCGACTGATCGCGGAAGAGACCGGCACGAGCACCACCACGGTGTACCGCTGGGTCCGGCGGTGGCAGGAGGACGGCAACGTGGAGAACAAACCGCGCGTAGATCGGAACCCTTTCTGCAATCTCCACTTGGCCCACGGCAACGCCCTGCAGAGCGACAGGCCGGTTCAATTCTTCAGGAGCTTCGACCTAAGTTCAGCTGCTTGGTCAAAGGATTTGCTCCCGCCTTACGCTCTTCAAAGAGACCAGATCGGCCCTTTGGGTTATGACGGCGAATCCACGCCGCTTCCACAGCAGATCACTTTAACTGCTCCCTCCTTTTCTGCTTCCTCTTCTTCTTTGGTGTTTCCTGGACACCACCAAAGAAGTCAGGACACTCCATATGTCAAAGGGTCTTGGTCTAAAACGGCATAATGGGGTTTTGCTTATTCTGGCTTGAGTCATAAAGAGCATATCATACTTGTGTTGTAATGATTTGGTTCGCAGTTATCATTATTATCATGTTTTTGCCAAGCCTACACGGTTTTATTTGTGATGATGATTTGTAAGATGCATTTATGTGTTAATATATGCAGTAGAAAAGTTTCATATTTGTATATTCTTCCTCAAACTAAATGCAAATGGGGAATGACTCGTCATTTGAAAAATGAAAGAAAAAATATCACAGTATTACTACATATTTACATATATATAAATATAAAAATATGCGTATGTAAATAAGCGTATTTATGTATTTTACGATTTATACACTTAAAAGCACACACACACATATATGTACACACACACACACACATATATGTGTGTGTGTGTGTGTGCATCACCATCAGCCTGAATCAATCCACTACTGGACGTACTCATAGGACTCTCCATATATTTTCCAACCTTGTTTGTCTTGCGATTTTTGTTTCCAGTCTTGGCTCCAAAATTTCGTTATCTTGCCATTGGTCTGGTCCTTGTCGTCCTGTCTCCGGTACATATGTTTCTTGGTATTTTTTCGGTTTCCATGTGGAGCTTGATAGTTGCTGTCCCATCTTCGTATATATCTTCTAATATTTTACAGTATACCTCCTCTACCCCGTCTTCGAGCTGCTTCTAGTACTGCTGGTATTTGTACAAATGCCTTTTCGTAATCGATGTATGCCATGCACAGGGGTTTCCTATATTCGTTTATTTTTTCTCTCATTTGGGTGAGCGTGTGGATGTGGTCTGTTGTTGAGAATCCACTGCAAAAGCCTGCCTGTTCTCTAGGCTGGTTAGAATCCAGACTGTCAGAGATGCGAGTTGTGATGACTTTTGTGAACAGTTTGTACGTAACTGAAAGGAGGCTTATGGGTCGGTATTTTTTTTTTTTTTTTTTTTTTTAGATCTTTTCTATCCCCTTTTTTATGTATCAAAATAATTGTTGTATTGTCCAGGCTTTCAGAATTTTTCCTTTGAGAAGCCATTTATTAAAAAGGTTGGCTAGCTTCAGTTGCAGTTCCTGCATCTATTATAAGGTCTAAAATAATTCCGTTTTCACCCGGCGTCTTCCTTCTCTTCATGCTTTTAAGCGCTCTTTTTATTTCCTCTGCTGTATAGATCTAAGTAAAAGTCTTCCACTACTCTTACGATTTAATTCTTATTATATGTCACTTCTCCGTCTGGTTTCTATATAGCATACATTTGATTTCTTCCTATTCCGAGTCTCCTTTTAGCTGTTTTCATGCTAGTACCTGAGATCACTGTTTTATTTATTATATAAACATTGAATTTCCGTACATCTCTCTTCTTTTTACTTTTTGCCCCTGTTTGACGATATCATGACCCTACATTTTTGCAT